TAAAAAAAAAAAAAAAAACCTGGAATTATAACGAATGTGTAAGCGCTCTCTTGATGCTGCGTTAGTTGATAGCTATTCAGGGTAAGATAATCGAGGCTCGTATCGAATTGACGTATGCAAAAAAATTAATTACCTGTGAAAAGCGTATTTATAACGCTTGTCGTCGGCGGGGACAAAATCCATCGTCAACAGATAGTTTGCCGACTCCTCCATGCCAAAAAGCCGTACTTGGAACACAGGAAACATACGTCTGAAATATAATAATACAGCTATTAATGACCCTTCAGCCGTGATTACCATTACAATGTCCAAAATTATCCTGAAATACATCCCTTGCTACAGCACATTCGTATTGAGCTGCAACCTTGTAAACCCCTTACAATAATTAATTTTTTTTTAAACTGAAAATATTCAATACCATTCTTTGAAAATTCGGAGCACTGCTGTGAAAATCCGGTGATCGGGTCCGTTTGTATTTCTTAAAAAACAGAAAATTAGAGCGGGGATTTTGAAACACCGCAGTTAAGATTTATCTGTGGCTAAGGTAAAAAAGCTTATCTTCCTTGAAACGGCTGAAAGTCTCCGATCATGCTTCACTATTTATAAAAGAAAACCAACCAAAAAATCTCCTTCAAATTTGTTGTGAATTTTTCTGGAAGTGAAGAAAATTCTGCGCAAATATTAAGAGAGATTTTTGGTTGGTTTTTTTATAAGAAAAAAAAAAAAAATTAAAACATGGGCGGAGATTTATAACACCGCATTCGAAGATGCGTATTTTACTGCTTGCGCCATCGATATTTGTTTTTTTACATCAATAGATATTAGGAAATGTGACTCACCTGCCAGCTCTGGTAACTATCATTTCAGTTTCTAGTTCGTTGAATTTCTCCCACAAGGACTGAAATTCTAGAGTGGCTTTCACGTTGACCACCATCGGATGCAGTTCGTCATTTTCACTTGAATTAAAATTACTATATGCGCTTTTATCTATAGGACTTCTGTCCAAAGCATTAGCTTTGTTGTTGATCACGTTGTTGTTCTTCTCAATCTCAGTTAGCCTCGGCTCCGAACCTCCGCTGATTGTGTTCTCTATGCAAGCTAGAATCACATGAAATAAAAATACAGTCAGATTTATGGTCAGGAAAAAATTTCAAGCAATGGCATCACATTAACAAGTTTGAAATAATTGAATATTAAATGTATATTAAGCGAAATGCACTTCGCTTTTCCTCGCTACATGGCCAGAATGTTCGGTCAATAGAATGAAGAGCGGAAGATGACGCGACGCGACAGCGACTTTGCGGATATTGCGCCAAACCTAAGATAGGCAACTATTCAGCTCCGTGTGTGGTGCAAGGTTGCGTGCATCGCTTTTGAAGGCGAAACGGGCCCGACGCATGAGCATGACCTGACTTGAGCGTGTTACAAACCGGCAAATCCGAATGTTCTTTGAAGTTCGCGTGCTAGCTCGATCAGGGATTACGCAGCTATAAATTATCCTTATTATCATTTATTTTACTTGTCTTTATTTATTATCTATATTAATTTTAAACGATTAGGCGATGTTTTGTTTGAGGTGCTTTGCGCAGTGCCCACAAATCCGTCAGTTTTCGACAGGAGACCAGAGGCTTTTTAAGAAACAAAAAACCATGAAATCCCATGAGCTAGAGGATATTTTTATGGAGAGTCGACTTTCGAATTATCCAGGGGTGGGTTTTGCCGAAAAGTGGATCGTAATAAATAATTAGAAAAATAGAGGCATACCCATAAAGGTGCAAACAATTTCCTGAGAGTCCCTCCGAGATTTTTCAAATACTGCCAAAGTGGCTCCCCAACTGCCGCCGAGATAGGCCCCTGCTAGGCCTTTTTCGACCAAGGTCAAGGGGGCGATTGCCCCCCCAGGCCTTGGATGAAATCATGTTACAATCAGTATTGTACTGGTACTCATATAAGAGGTCAAAATTTTGAACTTTAATTGAAATTTTTAAACTTTTTGGCCTTGTATTCCCCGCAAAATAGTGTGAACCCAGCACTATTTTACCATCTTTGCTACATACAGTCCGGGCAACGTTTTTCAGTGTTTTTTTTTTTTTTTTTTTTTTTTT